AAGTAATCACTAAACCCACTGACCGGAGAAATGCTGGCTCTGCATAAGAATTCCTACTGCTGAAAAGTGTTCGAAGCAAGTGCAAAGCATACAAGGAGTTAATTATATCCAGAGATACCAGGAGCCATAATCGGGGACGGAGTCCCCGATTATGGCTCCTGGAGATACTTAATTATATGTGTTATACGTGTAGCTTCGTTTTAATCGAACAAGGTCAAATTTTCCGACACAACTCCTCTGAGACGAGATTCCGACAGGCGACATAGGAATCTTGCGAAATGCCGACATGGCTGGTGGCGAATTTCAGACAGGGGACATGGGTACCCCCCCAAACGGGGCCTCGATAATGTCCAAGGGCAAATATCCGAGCATATTTTCGCGCCAAATGAAGCCTATATTGTTTATTATCCTTGATATATTTTTGGCAACAAGCGCATTTTGGGGCACTCGGATATTCTCTAGTTTTAGCCGGGGCATATTGACGGTCATTTAGACCAATCGTGTGCGAGCAAAAATATTTGATAGATTATAAGTCCTGATATCATCTATTTGCCTGACGAGACGGTATTTTATGCGGCTTGCCAGAATTGAGTAAACAATTTTACCAGGTTCCTTTGGTTCGGCTAAAGGACAGTCTATCATTTGTTTCGGTTTCAACTTTGTAATTTATACTTGGTATTCCGGGATTTGAGGTAAGAAAGTCGGTTCTAAGTTAAAATTATGTTTGTCATTCATGTTTGTCAGCCCAAATGGATTTAGTTTGACCAACACAAGGTTCCAAATCACTCAACGTATTCAAACTTCGAAATCCATATGCATTTCTCCTTGGTATATCTTGATCTCTTTGGAAATCATTTCTGCAGCCTAAAACGTAAGATTGGTGACCCATTTTTCATGGTTTCTTTTTCATAATCTATTTTATTTTGAGCTGTACAAGAACAGAAGAAAATCCTCTCTATTTATTTCTGGATTTTGGCTCAGGTTATTTGATGGATTCGACGGGCAATATTTCAATATTTTACAGCATAACCCGATGTTTACACTAATCTTTTCCATGTCATGTTCGTCTGATCTGAGCTGAGCTGAGCTGATAAGGTCATTGTTTTCGTCGATTTTGGTCTGAAAAAGAAAAAAAAAAAGGAATTACAAAAGGCATCTCCACCGACAAGTTATCTTAATATTTCTGCCAAAACCAAATCGTTACTTTTTTCCAACCCTCACCTATTCGCCATAAAATAGAGAAGGGTATCCGAAAAGACAATCGAGTGAAATCAGTTGAGATGCTACTATGGGGAATGGATTGAAAGAAAATTTTGAAACCACATGGAGTGTATTAATTTCAACTAAGAAAAACTTTTTATTTGGGAAGGTTAGAGATTTGGCTCATGAAATGTCGAGCAATATTGCTATATCAAATCTTTGACTTTCCTATTGATTTACTTCACTGAGAGATTGGCTACATCAAAAACCCAAATAGTTAAACCCTTCCAATTTATTTTAGTGTTGATCGTAAGAAAAGTATTCCCACGATTGCATATGAAATGTTGAAACGATATTTAACATATCATAACATTTAAGTCGCGGAAAATAAAGTTCGAGTGGCCTCGAGTCCACGAGCAGTAAACCTTTTTGCTTTAGATATAGTTTTCCTTCTATCGAACTTCTCTTTTCCAATGACAATCCCTAGTTTAAATGTCAAACAAGAAGANAAGCACTCTCATCAAAATGAACAACTGTCGCCTCATTTACAATTATGATTGAAAAAGTGTAATTTGAAATGTTCTTGCGATTTACTCGAGATCCATGTAGCTTAATCACTGGAGGGTCCATATCAGCTGAGCTTAACAGTGTAATAATATCTTACAGCTATTACATGCTATAATATTATCCCACAGCTGACAAAGGAACCAGATACAAAGATGTCACTGTACAAGTATTCTGAGGCAGCCCAGATAGGCATCACCGCCGCTTTCTGCTTCCTGGTAATCGCAGACCTGGTTGGTAACAGCCTGGTCTGTGCGGTCGTTCTTCGTAACAGGATAATGCGTACCCCCATGAACTACCTCCTGGTGAATCTAGCCGTTGCCGATATGACTGTAGCCGTGTTCATCGCGGCGCGCTACATCTTCACGCTGATATTTACGCAACCGAAAGGGACAGCCGGCGACGTTGTATGCCAGCTCATCACCGGCGAGGCGTTTGTGTGGGTCGGCGCGCTGGCTTCTGCTTTCTCCCTCGTCTGCATCGCGCTAGAACGCTACCTCGCCATTAAATTCCCTTACGATGTACGCAAAAGGATAACAACTACCAAGCTCAAGCGTATTGTTGTTCTAGGCTGGGTGCTAGCTGTTTCATGGAACATGCCTCTTTTCATTTACGCGCGGTATGATCCAGTCAGCGAATTCTGTCTGTTCAAATGGCCCACTGCTAATTTCGCTCAATTCCACAGCCCCCTATGTGCCATTGTTTATGGCGTTCTACCGATCACAATCATGATTTACCTGTATTCCAAGCTAGTGTACAAGCTATGGTTTCGTCCCACGACTACGTCGACCATGGCACAACAAAACAAGTTGCGCTACTGCAAGAAATCCGCCCGACTCGTGGTCACGGTCAGCGTGATTTACTCCATCTGTTGGATCCCAGTTCTCGTTGTCTACGTTTTCTCTTCATTCAGCAGGCAGCCGCTTTACTCAGCCGTGCACACGACCAGCATCGTCTTGGTCACTCTCAATTCTGCTATAAATCCTGTGTTATACAGCTGGCAGAGTGAGCGTTTTCGGAAGCACATGCTAGCGCTGCTACCGTTTTCTTGCACGCACCAGCGTTGCAGAATCGACCCCGCCAAACAAGTCACATCTACAGATCAAGATTCAAACAAGACTTCGGGCGGTACAGAGCTGATTCAGTTCGTGAGTAGAGGTCCCATGGCCTAATAAATAACGCATAATTTCTCTCGAATTAAGTTTACTGCTTCGGTTTGAGGAAATTAGCATGGTGGCAGAAATCTACAACGTGTACAAGTTTGAGGTTACAGCCAGTCCAACTCAAAACGTTGACCTCAGTCAAACGTCTGGGGAATTTTTCATTTTCATTACGGGGGATTTCATTTACCAAGAAGTGGAAACATGAACGAGGATGTAGAAAGTAATCGGTTGCTTTTGTAGAAATGTTTTCGGTTGTTTCAAGGAAACGAGTTTTTTAGTTTACTTATGCGCACTGAAAGCAGTTTGAGCGTTGACGCACCTCTGACGTCTTCAAAAAAAA